TTCGCTCTGATGGCAGCTCTTTGGGAGCATGTTTGTCGTACCGCGCATCAGTGGCGTTCGTGAGCAAAGACATCTTGTGGGGTGGGGGTGAAACCTTATGGACACTGCAGTTTTTCCCTCCCTGCTCTGTAGGAGATAACAAAGGCCTCCTCAAAAGCATCACCACAGCTGTTTCAGTTGCCTGGTGACATTGACCTTAAAGTTCTCATCTTCCCCAAACCCACGGGGTGACTCCCACTTCTGGACACAGAACAAAATCCATCCAGCGCTGGCTGAGCCCGTTTGTCTCCTCATGGACACCTTTGCTACTGAGTGCAAGTGCCGTGTGTCACGCTTCCCCCCTGCAGCACCTTTGTCATCACCATTTGTCAGTGGTTACGTTTTCATTAAGGTGTGTTTATTTTGCTCGTGCTCTACTTAATTCATAAATCAGATCATAATGCGGGGAAGTAATTTTCAGGGCTTCTAGTAGATGAAAGTTCTCCTCACCTCCAGCAAGTCTGGTGCTACGTAGCCACGAGATAACCCGGGCAGCGACGGGAGCTGTCAGCAATTTGTAGTGAACGCCAAGTGTGAAAACCTGGATGATGCAGAGCGAGGTCAAGGCTTCACCAGCCAGATGATGGTGTGGCTGAATGGCTCAAACAACGTACCTGGCACAAACGAGCACGTTACTGAGTCGTCTTCTCCGTACTTAATTTGGAGTTACAACATGTTTGCTTTCTCACGATTACTTCGCTTGTTACATTTTAATTCTGAGGAAAGTAGACTATCATTACCTAAATGTATGACCCAATGTAATGCTGTGTTTAATGATTAAATTTAATTGCAAGTTTTATGTAAGGCACTTTGGAACACCAGGAAGAAATGCAAATGTCTCTGTGTAAGCACTAGGGTTTTAGTAAGAATGGATCTTAGGCTAGAAAAAGAAGAATTTGTAATTGTATCTATTTGAACTGTGTTTTAGAAGTGTAAGCAGAAAAATAATTTGTAATTAAAAATTACTGAATTGGCACAAATTGTAGCTGTTTTAAGGAAACTGGCAGAAATCCAGGTTTTGAAATGTGGTGAGAGATTATTTCTTTTCATCTCAGAATTGCAGGAAAAAAAAAAAACCACCATGAAAGTTACATGAAATTAAGTGATTGAGCATGGATACCAGCATATTTAAGAAAAAAATCAAAGTAGCTGTAATTTATATTCAGGATGAGATCCAGTGCAGTGTGTCGTGCAGACAGGGTGCATATTAGCATCATAATAAAACCTGGCTTGGAGAGGGGATCGGGGGAGAGCTGACTACTTGAGTTGCTTTGAAGTTTTCTTTTTATAAAAAGTGCTTTTTCTTGCCCCTGTGGCTGCAAAACTGTGATAGGATCAAAACTCCTGCTGCTGTGTCGGATGGCCTGCAGCAAGGTGACTGCTGGCTGTTCATCTCCAGGGCTCAGGTATATGACAGATGGTTTACTGTGCCAATAGCAAAGAGGAAAAGGAAAAAAAAAGTCTGGATCCAATTAATCATTGATCTGGAAGAATGTAATAAGCACAAGGGAGAGAGGGGTAGAGAGAAGATGTGCTGTAATGCTGCTGCTTGTTCTCAGCACCAACAGGAAAAGAAGGGGAGGCTGGCAGCAGCTGGGAAGGGTCCCTGGCAGCACTGGGCTCTGCTGCTGATGCTTTTGTCTGTTCTTGAAGCTAAGTCCTTCCAAACTGACCAACTGGTAGTTGCTTGCCCTAAAACCCCAGCATTCTTCATGTGCATTAAACAATATAACAAAGTAAAACTAATTTAGAATAGGTTAGTTATTAATTTGTAAGCATCTCTCCTTCATCCAGTCAATACAAATAAAAACTGCAACCCGTACTAGCACTGTAGTTTTGGTTGAAGCGTTAAATTCTGCTTTATTTCTCTAATTTTAGATGTGGTCCTGACTGCAGATTAAGAATTGGGGTGTATTTATATATGAGGAGTAAAGTGAACATGAAATTGTACAAACACCTACATAAAATAAAACTGTTTTGAAACGTTCGACTTGGCATGAAGAGCATCAGGGTTTTCAGTTTGATCCATTGTACTGTGGCGCTGTCAGAACTTTTTTTAAATCCATGCATTCCTCCTAAATGGTTTGGTTTCAAATAAAGGATGCTTTTTAATTTTGTCAAAGACATTTCATCTGTCTTTTCTGGCACAGCAGCTTCCCCAGCACATAACATTGTTCTTGGCAGAAAGGTGAACGATTGTGATAGTGGTTTTCAGTAAAGCTGATCGGTTGTGATGGTGGTTTTTGGTAAAGCTGATCGGTTGTGATGGTGGTTTTTGGTAAAGCTGATCGGTTGTGATGGTGGTTTTTGGTACTGTGCTTTACTTTCTTAAATCTGTTCATTTCAGCTGGAGAAGAGAGCTCAGGAAGCGAGCAGCTGGTCCCGCACAGTAACGTTGGTGTTTGTCACCCTCAGATGTTCTGAGATGTTCACACTAGTTGTGTATCTAAAATATCACTGTAAGTTAACGCGTGGTTAAGATCTCACCAACAAGACCTCCTCCTACTGAGATGTTACATGCTCTGTCTTTGCTGTTTGTCCTTTTTTTTTTTGTCCCATTTTCTATCTACTGCTTCTCAAGCGTAGGACAAACGTGCAGACACGGCCCTTGTGGATTTGGCTCTTCCCACGGGTAGCAGCTCTCTGGTCGGTTGGTTTTGGCATCACCTTGGCTGCAGCCTGCTCTGGTTTATGGGATACACTCTTCGGATCAAGAAGGTACATGTACCAAGTCTAAGTCATCTCTGTGTCTGATTTTCATCTTCAAGAAGCAGGATAAATAGGAGTCGAAAATACACTCGTTGGGTAGTTTGTGTTGCCTCTGGGAAATGGTTTGTTTTGGAAAAAGCCCACAGCAAAGAGGGCAGCCAGAAACAATGGTTTTTACAGGAGGGTGTAGTTCTGCCTTGGGAGAGAGGAGCGTAGAATCACCTGGGTTTGTTCTCGTTTAATGATGTTCCAGTAAAAGCACAAGGAAGCGCAGACGGCTGCTCGGCGAGGGCAGGGAGGAGATCGTGGGGTGAGTTTATCTCGGGCTGACCTGGGTGCCAGGCAGGAGGGACAAGACTTAGAAAAGAGAAGTTTATACTGATTTTTTTGCCTCCAATCTACCTCTTCTTTCTAAAATGTTCAAACTGCGCCTTTGTTGAAAATCTGAACAAATGTTCCCGTGCAATCGCTGGCGTGACTCGCTGCCAAGGGACCCGCTGGGGTGGGCACGGGGGAGTCTGGTGACTTACTCAGACGGGGGATTGCTTTTCCATCCAGCCTCAAGACCCTACTTATTTTTGCCGCCGTGAGGTTTTAGATGACTTTCCAGTGCGGACCTTGGCGAGGAGTGGGGCTGGAGGGGTGCGGGCAGCCTAGGGAGGGAGCCCAGCGGCACCGCCTGCCCTCTGCCCTCTGGCTTTGCCGGAAAAAGCAGTGCAGCCAATTGATGGTCCTTGCTCTGGTCAGCAATAACCTCCTGCGCAGTGAATCACCGCTTCAGAGGTCACACAACCGCGGGCAGATGTTCGCGTCGGTGCTGCTCACGCCACACGAACGCAGGCAGCACCGTCCCCCTGTCCACGTCCGTCCCCGCGCGGTCAAGCTGCAGCTGGGCTCCTCGGAGGCACTTGTTTAGAAAATCAGGGGATGTTCTATGAGCTGTGTTTACTAAGAGCTTAAAGAGCATCTGGCAACGCTGCCTCTGCCCCGTCCCCAGTGCTCGCAGTGCCGGGAGCCCTCGCCCCGGTTGGGTGATGCTGGTGGATGCACCAGTCTTGATGCCGCGTTTAGACGCAAACTACTGTCTTCCCCCTTGGATGTGGCTGTGGCATTGTGGTGGACAAGGTGGTGGTGATGTGAGCAAGTTCTGCAAGAAGACAAGGCTGGATGGCAAGCAGAGAAATGGCAAGGGCTCGGCAGTGCTGGGCTGGGGGAAGCTCCACGTGCTGGGCTGTGGGTTCCCAAGCTTGTGGACAAGGAGGTTTCAAACGCGTGTTGGCTGCTGTGCCTGGGGCTGGTACCTGTCAGTCCTGCAAAGAAACTGTGTCAAAGCTTTTCCCGCCAGCAGAAGGGTGAGGCACAGGAGGGAGATGCTTCACTGTCCTGGACTGTGCCGTGTGGGCGCTGGCAGCACGACTGGCAGAGACATCAGGTTTGCCAGTGTCGGTGCAGCTGAGCTGGTTCCTGGTGAAACATCCCACCTCGGAGGCAGAGAGCACCCAGGCAGCTCTCTGTGCCTGACGGGCTGTCCTGCGCTTATCGGTTGGGACCACAGCAGTGCTGGCGGCCTTTGATAGCTCCAAACAAAAGCAGGATGTTTGTGGTCTAACTGAAACGAGCCCAGCTTGTGCCTTTAGCCAGAGGCTGGAGGATGCTCAGGCTGGAGCA